TTTGGATTGTTATACGTTTCCAGTTGGTGGTGAATTTATTTGTTAATTATTTCCTGATTGGGATGGAGCACTAGTTTTTTATATATTTCTAAATTGGCTGGCTTGGATTGCTATTGTTCAGTAACTGGTTGGATTTGATTGTTATTTGTAGTCTAACCAACCTCTATAACAAACAATAAAAAAAAAGCAACCAGACCTAAGGGAGAAGAACAATGGTCAGCTTTTAGCTTCTTTAGAAGCAACAAACCTTGCTTCACAATCTCATCCTAAACTCCTGATAATTTCTTGTCTTTGAAACCTTCACTCTCTTTCCAAATGTTTACTGCTGAGATAAGTTGCCTCTTGCTTTGAAGACGTGCATGCTGGGACTAAGGACATTGGTTTGTAGAGAAAAGTCATTTTGGAAAGCTAGTTTTGTTGTTTATTTCTGGTGGATCTATCAATCTCTGCTTCTTCAACACCAAGATCCTTGGGCTACGATCCTTTGTTTGTCAACTTCAGCCCATTTGCTCAGTTAGAATGATTATTCCTTTATGAGACAACCACACGCAGAACTATTGCTCATTCCTTGAGATAATATACTTATAATGTAGAGTTACCTTTAATACTGTCAGCGGATAACTTGACTAGTTAATTTAGGATCATCATAGACATCTTTATTTCCTGAAATCTTAGTTTTGCTTCAAGTCTATAGTCTATTTTAGTAGCTACTTTGATTTTGTCAAAGTTTTTATCACATTAAAGTTCTTACATTTGGAGATGTTTCCATAATACCACTGCTTCAAAAGTGCAGTTGACACAATCTGTCACTTGCTCGTGTGATTAAGGAGTGTCGATCCTCGTATTAACGTGAGAAAGGCAGCAACTCATCAAGTTATTTATTGGGCCTTTTTAGTACTTAAAGTATCTTCTTGACTCCTTCCTAATTTGGTTCTAATGCTCGGTAGCGCATAAATATTAAATTGCAGACTAACTTCAGTCACTTTATTACAGCAATAAAAACTTCTCTCTTGCTGCGCGCTCAAAATCCATGCATCTCCTCTTCCCCTCGCCAGGTTACTATGCCAACAATAAGCATGGGTAGGAGGACCAGGTCAAATTTGATTCTGTTGTGCCCTCGATGATGCATAATAGTAATAGACACTAAAAATGAATCTAACAAAAGTATCAGCCTGCAATGCTGAACTAAACAGAAACAATCCTAAACTTCACGACATTGGTTCGAGAACAATTTAAATCAACATAAGTCCAGCCACCACTTTTTATGAGCTAAAATATGTAATTTGATGCGTAAAACATTAAGAAAATGAACTATTGAAGCTAGTCACCCCACCCACCATACAATGGATAAAAAATCATGTCCCTTCAGAAAAACCACTCTGAACAATCTCAAGCAAAAAACAAGACAAAGGAAAATAGTGCATATCCGAGGCATTCAGAAAGAAAATTCCAACAAATCCAACACAACCGCCGCAAGAATCGAGCTAATTTACAAATCCGAAGTTAAATCAATCAAGATCCAAAAAGAAGAGAAGAAGCGAAGAACCAAAGAGAGGACCTGGTCAGTGGGGTCGTTCTTCCTGGACTTGTTGATGAGGAGATCCTCGCGCTTGACGCCCTCCCCGAACTTGTGGAGGAAGTCGAGCTTGGTCATGTTGATCTCGAAGTCCACCACCAGGTAGCCCCGATCCCTCAACATCTGCATCACCGTCCGCCGGATCCGGAACAGACGGCCAATCGTCTCATCTCCCATGGAAGCCGGCGGCGGCGATGTCTTCTCCTACCACTTACGCCAAGTCGACCAGTTATGACCACAAAGAAAAAGTACCTTCGCTTAGGGCTGGACATATTAATAGGAAAAGCTCGTCGTCCCCAACTTCACCGACTCCGATACAATGGGCGGAATCGCGGAATCTCACGGGCATACGACCACCCCCAGAGACTAACGAACTAATCGTCAAAAGAATATACGTATTCATATACGTATACGTATAATGGATCAATTACACATAAGGTATACGTATATGTTGTGTGGGAGTTGCCTCACACCTTTTACTGTACGATCATTATAATTTGCGCACATATTTACGTGTCATTAGCTCCTTTGGGATTATAAGTAGATTGATCCTTTACAAAGAAGGCTTAGACGATTAAAGCTAAATCCGCTGGCAATAGAGTGTCCCCATCTTTTGTCTATTTAATAATTATAACTGATTGAAAATGAAAACTTATTAGAGTGTCTAATATATTTTCTATCTCTTTTTTTAATGTAAAAAAGATCCCCATTCTTCTTTTTTATTATCTATAATTATGGAGGTAAATTATATCTTTTTTATCTTCTTGACTAATAATTAATATATGTAAATTAGACTTTTGAGACAATTATAGGTCCTTTTTTTTTCCATGTGTTTGTGCTAGTTTTATATATAGTATACCTCCTAACTTGTTTTTATCTTTATAATTAAGGAGAATCATCAAATGTGCCCCCCTTTTTTAATATGATATGTGTATTAAATAGAGACTTCTTTTCAGTATTTTCATTGTTTTATAACTTTTTTTATATTTATTTGAGTGTTGTTATTCATGTGTTCAACCACCTTCCATTAGAACCAAAGGACTAATTGATTTTGTGCTCAAAGGATAATAATATACCAATGTTCCTTTATGAAAAATTATATAGCATAATTTAAATGCCATGATCCGATTCTAGGTAGCTATATCAAATTTATTTTCTTACTTTTTTGTTGTTGATTATGTGAAATATATCACAATTTTAGCTTGTATACATTTAAATATAAGCAAAATTACATATAGCTATTCTATTATGTTTTAAAATTATCTTATTGCTGTTAGGACCGGAGCGGCACTAAGAGGGGGGGGGGGGTGAATTAGTGCAACGGTAAAGTATGATAAACTTTCGACGATTTAAACACTTACGAAAACTTTGTACGATAAAAGCAACGTTTTGTTTGAAACCGTTTCGATTGTGTTTTAACTTGAAGGCATATGTAAGAATGAGACAAAGAAGTAGAGCATCAAAATGAAGATGGTTTGCAGTAATATAAATGACAATAAGATAAATGCAAACCAGAGAAGATGGTAGTTTATAGTGGTTCGGTCAATCGTGACCTACATCTACTCCTCCAATTCCTCTTCCGTCGAGGCCACCGGCATCCACTAATGATCTTCCTTTACTAGGCGAAGATCAACCTCCTTCTTACATCCCTCTTACAACCTCTTACGAGTGGTTCACCCTTTTACAAAGATTTCAATGAAAAGAAAGGAGGTGAACACTCAAGCTATTGAAAACAAGACTTTTCCTAAAGCTTTTCTCAACTTCTAGCTTCTCAAAAAGTTGTCTTCTCTACTGAGAAATGAGGGGTATTTATAGGCCTCAAGAGGATTCAAATTTGGGCTCCAAAATTTGAATTCTCTTTGGTTTCCGAGGCCGGCGGTGCCACCGCCTGTCAGTGTCTGACACTGATAGTGGACTGGCGGTGCCACCGCCCAGTCTAGGCGATGCCACCGCCTAGGCCAATTCAGCTCACTGGTTGGGCTCCAAACTTGGCCCAAACCAGTCCGAACTCGGGCCCAATTGGCCCCTAGTTGGGTTATAGGATTGACACCTAATCCTAACCCTAATTAACATGTTAACTACGAATTTAAAGACATTTTCTAAGCTATTACAAAGTCCGTAAGTCAAGACTTCTTCTAGCGAGCTTCCGGCGAACTTCCGACGGTCTTCCGATAAACTCTCGGAAACCATTCTACGGACTCCCGGCAAGCTCCTAGACTTCACGATTTGATCTTGGCGAGTTCCAACGAGCTTCTTCGGCCAGCTCCGATCTTTCTCGGCGAGCTCCGCGAACTTCCAACGAACCTTCCGGTGAGCTTCCGAAAAACCCTTCGGCAAGCTCCCTACTTATTCTTGGCTAGTTCCGACAGCATTCCCGACTAACCTTCGGACTTCCGTCGAACTCTCGAACTCGCAACGAATCCTTCGTGTTTGACTCCGACACTTTGTTTTGCTTTATGTCTTCGTCGTTATCGTAGTTAATCCTGCACACACAAGCTAAAACTCTACTCCGATCTAGACAATTATTACAACGCGAATTGACATTCTGTTGCCCGACGCGTCATTGGTTGGCGCTTCATCCGATTCTTCAGCGCATCGTCCTCTCTTGCGGCTTGTTGCCCAATCGGCGGTTGACCTTCGCAACCCCGATATCCTTGGCGCAATTCCGCTCTCCTTGGCCCGATGCCCGACGTCTGAAGTCTTCTGCCATCCTAACGTGATCTCCTCCGGCGCAACGTCAATTCCTCCTGCGTTAACTGTCTAATCCTGATCGAGTAGACCTACATCACTCAAAATGCAGTTTAAATTATAAACACATATCAAGTGGTTTCATCATCAAAATACGAGATTCAACAATTGCAAGGAACTCCCTCTTCCAAGAAAAAGAGAAAAATAGTTTTTTTTGTTGTTAATTAGATTAATAATCACACTTTTAAAACTTTCTATTCTTCTTCTAATGTCTTTTCTTAATTTTTTGTTGTTGATTATGTGAAATATATCACCATTTTAGCTTATATACATTTAAATATAAGCAAAATTACATATAGCTATTCTATTATGTTTGAAAATTATCTTATTGCAGGGAACATCCTCTTCCAAAAAAAAAAAAACAGTTTATTTGTTGTTGTTAATTACATTAATAATCACACTTTTAAAACTTTCTACTCTTCATCAAACGAAAATGAAATTCACTGTCTTGATCAAAATTTTTTATTTCGAAGAAAATAATAAAAACAGTGATATCTTAGAAAACCAATAGATTGAAGAAAAGAAAAGAGGTGAAATTCAATAGGTTTAATGTTGATTACAAGTAACATCTATGCATACAGACATCCAAATAGATTCAAATCTAAAAGTTTGATGGTGCTCTTTGCATAGAAAATATATATCGAAATGAAATATATATGGTAACGTATCACAGAGCTAGAATGCAATTCCGATAGATTCTTCTTCAAAAGCGAAGTCTTTCAACTAACATTACAAGGATATGAAGAAGACCGAGGTGTTTAGTATCTATCTAACACTAGTTTCCGAACAGTGCTCTAATCTACTTGCCATGATTGATATATATATATATATATATATCTGCCAAAACCTAACTATTTCAGTCAGAACGATGATGATTATAATAGATGGCTGAGCTTCAAAGTCCGAGCAAGATATAATACACCAAGGTGATGGGTAGAGCAATTAGCATCCCAAAGATAACCCTGCAAGAATTAGGCTGTTTGTGAGAAAAATACAGTGTGAAACTGGCATAAACATTGCATCAATGGTCACACATAAAGAGGTAGAAGACATCATACGCTGTGCTTAAAATATCAGGATACACATTGTATTCTTTTGCAAAGACAAATGGAACAATTCCTTGTGGAAGAGCTGCCTGCAAAGTAAAAGAAACATGTGTCATCAACATATGAACAATATGCACATCTACTGTAGTTTTTGGTGTCGATTAACCCCAACCTGCACGATAGCAACATGTAGCAGCACTCCACGCAGGCCTACCGCAATGGAAGCTGCAGCCATGACAGCAGGACCAGTGACGAATCTGACAGCCATAGCAAATGCAGCTACAGAATTGCCACAAGCTATAATTCTCGGCTGTAAGGCCATAAATAAACCTGTAAATTGAAACACAAATTTCTTGATTTATAAACTTAAATTTGTCTCCTGCGGAAACATAAATCTGCAGTTACCCACCGAGACTGAACATAGCCATTCCAAGTCCTGCATCAGAGAGTATTGAGATGGAGCGAGCAATAATAGCAGGCATTTCTATGTCCCACCTTGAGAAAGAGGAGTGAGCATGAGATTTACTTCAAGATCATACGGATTTGCGCATACTGGAGAGTACCTGTAAGAGACAAGAGACCAGATGACACCAAGAAGGCTGGAATAGGTGTTTGGGTTTCTGATCAGCTTCCGCCAGACCATGCTCAGTATAAGTCTGCTCATCACACTTGCAGGAGGCATTGAATTAGGCTTTGGGTTTCCTGCAGCACCAGCTTTGGGGTGAAGCTCGGCGGTAGAGCTGGAACCTAGTTTGGAGAGGCTTGGACCATCACTCTGCGTCGTTTCAATTCCATGGAAGGGTCTGTTCCTGAAGCTGAAGCCATCTCTGGCGTACACATCGTAAGCATCGTGATGGGCCTCTAAGACCAGAAAAGAACCAAGTTATTAGCGAGATTTACGTAATTGAGATTTCACTGCGAGAACAAGATCGAAGCATGAGAGGTTCCTGACCGATAAGGGAAACAGTAGTTTGTGTTAGAGGACTCGAAGGAAATCTAAGCTTAAAGAAGTGCAACAAAGGGTCCACGAGACCATGGAGTGCAACATGAACAGCACGAAGCAAAATGTAGGAAGCTGAATCCAACCCAGAGAAAGGAAATGATCGAAACCTCTGTGATGGTGATCGGCTGCGTGAGTTGCCCCACCATTCTCGTTAGCGAAATCTGTGTCTCTGAACACATGCATCCCACCTTCCGACACGGGTGACGCGCTCGAACTCCATACAAACATGTGCAGGTCTTTTCCACCCTCGGCCGCACGTGCCTTCTTCGTCGCCATGACCGGCGAGAATATTCCGGTGGCGGGCGGGGCTGGATAGCCGCAAGGCGCTGCGATGCCACTCGCCCTCAGGTCGCTTTCCTCGTCGAACACCATGGTCCCGGAGTTGGAGTGCCTCGGGCTGACGCTGGCAGTTCCGTTGGCATTCCTCACCATGGAATAGAAATCGGCGTGGTTGAAGCTGGAGCCCCGGGGCGTCGGGTTCCTTGATGACTGCAGGGAGTAAATCTCTGCGTTGGACAAGTTGGAGGGGCGCGGCGTTATCGAGATGCCGCCGGAGTTGAGCCCGTGTGACCTCCTGGAGCAGATCTCGGAACGGGAGCTCGTCGACTTACGCACCGTGACGTGGAGCTTTCCGTCGTCGCCGATCTCCGCGTCCGTCTGGAGCGTCTCCTTGCCATCGAGGGAGATGATGTCGGAGTCCACCCGGAACGAGATGATGGAACCGGCGGTGTCCGGGAACTGATCCATGATAAGGAGCCTGGCACCCCTGTACTCGAAGAGGAAGAGCATGAGGGTGTACCATATGATGCACTGGAGCACGACGATCTGCACCATGAGGCTGCCGGAGTCGGGGCCGTACATGCCCTTGAGGAGGGGGATGCCCATGACGAGGGTGTTTGGGAGTGTGGAGAGGGAGAAGAGGGTGATGGTCCACTCGAGACAGCCACGGGAGCAGACCTTGGTCCACACAGTAAGCACGACGAGCACGATGAGCTTCTGCAGCGTGTCTGCGGCGATGAAGCGGTAGTTCATGGCATACGGGTTGTTAGTGGAGATGAAATGGAAGGAGAGGAGGGGGACAGCAAAGAGCGCCACGAAGCGGTTGATGCCGGAGCACTGGTCTGGGGTGAAGATGCACCACCACTTCACGGAAGCGTAGGCCAGGATCATGGCCACGTACAGTGGCACCACGGCCACCAGCACGTGGTAAAGGTCAGCGGCGGAGATCATCTCCTTCGCCGCCGCTGTTGCTTCCGCCGAATGGCAACCGGAGGAGCTCTGCTCTCTTTCGGTTCCGGCTGAAATGAGAGGACGGGAAATGGGATGGGTCTTGAAGCAGGGGGAGCTAAAAGAGCCCCTGTTTCGCTTGAAGACGGGAGCAATCGTACAGGCTGAGATGGAAAGAAGTAGCTTTTTTATCGCAATGGTGTGACAGTGTTCGAGGAGAAATGATGACAAAACAGTGAGAGGTGCAAAATATGGGCGAAGGTAGTGGGAATGGGGAGGAAGATAGCAACAGCAGAAAGCTCTGAGTAAGCAGACGGAAGAGAAGCGAGGGGAGGCGGTACTTGCTGCCGGCAACGGCAACTGTGCGAAATATTTATGATGCCATTTAATAGCAGGCGAGAAAGGAAGGATGTGTTTGGGAGTAGCGTCGAGGGGAAGCAGCGAAGGGACGTTTAGGAGCAGCAGCAGCGCTGCTGTTGTCTACCAGAGAGGGAGCTTTCTGTCGGTCGGGGGCGGACGACGGAGAGATGTCGCAGACAGTGACAGAGGGATAGGTCCGGTGAGGTGAGGAGCGGAAGGCTGGCTAAAGAGCACAAAGCAGACGTACACAGAATCCAATAAAAACCTGACCTCCTTCTTTCTCTCTCTCTCTCTCTCTCTCTCCCTCTGCTTGGCCACGTCAGTGATTATTTTTTTTCATTTGAAGTTAACAAAAAAAAAATTCACCGAATAAATGAATAAATATTTTTTTATTTTTTATTTTTTCAAGAGGCATTTTTTTTCATAATTTTCAATTGATACTGTTTTTTGGTCATATTTCCTAATACATCTGATGAGACAATAATAACTCCCGAGTGATTCATGTCATCAATTTGAATCGATCTCATAGGGTGTTCCTTAATTATAAGTCTCTTCAAAAGATTATAATTTCATACACATAGAATTAGATAGATTCATAACAAGTACAATGTCATCAGCACCGTACCAATTATCTTGTCAGAAAAAAATATTTAAAAAGATTATGAAAAACAATGATGCTCTTTGGAAATATGAAAAAGGTAGCTATTGGCAAAAGCCCAAAAGTTTTTTTTTCTGAAAATTCACCCTTTATTTAACAGTATTTTTTTTAAATCTATATCTCTTAACCTACCTGTTTGATGATTGAAGACAGCAATTATTTATAATATATATATATATATATTATAAATAATTGATGGGTACCACATTACACATTAAATTATAGTCGATTTCTGGAGAACTGTTGTGATTCATTTTATAAAACCTCAATGGTTATGATATAGATTAAAGTAATTAATTATATATATATATATGCGCATTTCCACTTGAATTTTAAATTTGACTAGAAAAAGTAAGGAGTTGAGCACTTGATGCTAACTTTACCCACCACATATAACTACGTTATGTTGATTCGGTTTAGGAATGAGAACCTTTGGTCTGAACATATTGACAACAGGCATTAAGAAACATAAAGCTAAAAAAAAAGTTAATTAATAATAAATAACTAAAAAATGGCCCATAATTATGTCTACTACCAGTACAACGCCATCTGGAGACATCATAGTTTTTTCTTGTTTTCATCCTCCATTCTTTGAAATCTAAGTTAGAAGCAAATTATTCTACAAAAACTATCTGCTAGAAATAAATTGAGAAATTTTTTTAATGTTATTTTGACATTTTATTTGGTTTGGAACCACTTTTTTTTTTTAATATATACATAAAGTAAGGAAATAATTAATGTTATAAAAAGGTTAAAAAAAATCAAAATGAACAAGGATCCATTAAATTGAATCTTTATTTTTAGAAACTTAAAAAATAGCTTTTTAATAGACATGGATAACAAACTAAAGGATCAGAGTATTAAGTTTGGTAATTTTCTTCTAATAACACCAAGAACAGTTCGGATCGATTAGATGAAATCGGGTTGAAACATGCTTCATATAGCTTAGTCTTTTTTTGCTTTATAATTTTAGATTTAAGTTTTCTATAAAATATTCTTTCTCCTTTTTAAAGATATTTTAGAAAAAGAAAATAAAGCACAAAGAAATATGTATAAGGTATCAGTTAACTTGGCTTGTAAAAGCTTTGTCAGATCATCACAAATCTCTATGATCAAGACTTGTCTTCATCATTTATTTAAAAAAAATAAATAAAAAAAATTAATTTTCCATATGAGTTCAGTTATATAGCAATGTTTAGCATAAATCGCTTGGTGATTCAATCTACCAATGGAGCAGTTTGCATTGATAATACTTACACTAAGTATCAAAATACTATTTTATGTGTGGTTTAATCGAATACTTTATTATTATTATTATTACTATTATTATTACTATTATTATATGACTAATAAATCAAAATGATCGTCCGATCACACTTTCTCTTCTTTCCTCTTTCGATCATTCTCATTGTTCAAACGTGCTCATGAATTAACAACAAAAAAGGTGATCTTTCAACGCGTACAAGAGACCATACATAGTGTTCTACAACCGTAGTTATTCTATCAGAGATTGGGTTTGGGTTGCAATAAATAAATTAACGCTTAAAAATTAAAAAGTTGAGATGTGTTGTTTGCACGCCATATTTGTTCGCTTGAGGTGACTAATTTGGGGAGGACCATTAGCAAATATATTCCAAATGACTAATTATCAATAATATCAGAACTTTGGTTGTCTGCTCAGTTTGATATTCTCGAAGAATATCAATAATTATCCTTTGTTTCTAAAGCAAATGTTGTTAAATTTGCTTTTCAGCGTTTCTTATTTATGATTTCCAAATTTACATTAAGTTATAAATCACTTTTAGTTTTGCAAGGGTCATTAGACTTCTTGTCCCTTCTTTAATCATCTTCAATATATTTAAGGTGGAGATCCTAATATGTAGTAAATTAATTTGACTCATAAAAGATCAAACGAAAATTAAATGTATCTTATAAATTTCTTATTATGCAGTTAAACGTTGTTGGTTCTGATGCTAACCATCAAACAATGTTGTTGTATTGATGTTACTGATCTATAGGTTGAAGCATTTGGGATTACTACTTGAGGTCTACAAAGTCAATAGTTATCTCATTAAATTTCATCATGACAAATGCCATTACACATTTGATTCTCACCACACCGGAGTTTGTGTTCGACATAATAATGAGTAATAAATAGGAAATGATTACTCGTAGATAAACTAAGAAAAACTCAAGTAATTACTGGATTGAGTCTGAATTGTGTGTGCAACTCGAGAGTTGAGGTAGGAGGAGATGTTTTTTTTGTTTCTCCAACTCAGTTCATATCATGTTGAGTACCCAAGGGAAATTGGACAACGCTTAGACAAAAGCTGAGATGGACTTGCAGCCATGTCTCTGGCACCAGAGTCATAAGCATGCAGGCCGTCCTCTCCTCCTCCTTGCGTTACGTGCATTGCTGACCTACTTTGTCACATGCGAGGATACAAAACCTGAGAAAGAGAAAGAGAGAGAGAGTAGGAGAATCTCCATAATAATCCATCATGTACGCATGCCATGCAGTACTCCCATCGCCCTTTTCATTATTATACTTCTCCACTCTCCTCCTTCAGCTTTCTTCTTTGGCTTTTGTTGCTTTGGCCGGAAGGGTTGCTGAGAGAAAGGAAAGCAGCGGTATGAGACAGCATGATTGGATGCAAGAGATAAAGGCGCTTTTACAGCACATATATGAGGGGATTAGTGTATTCACGTGAGGGATGATCCAAATGGCCGTCTACATGGGACTTGTCAGGGATTTCAGGCAACCCCCATTGACCACAGGCCCATTTTAGGTGCGGGACCCTCGGCCGTCGACCAATTAGATAAGATGGAACATTACGCTATGCATTTGTTGCGTGGAAGACAAAAGAAAATAATTCTCTTTGTCTTTTTTGGCCTTTTGTTAAGGAAATTAATGTGACATCCATCTTTCATGCTTATTACATTATTTTGTACTCAGACTAATCAAACCAAATTAGATCGCTTTGGTTCAGTTTTTTTTATTCTTTCTTTCTTTCTTCTTTCATCTTTTTTTTCATACCAAGAAATGAAGAAAAGTAGAACAAATTTAAAAAACTGACTTGAGATGATTCAGACAATTTTTTTGAAAGCTATTTAAAACATCTTAGTTATTTATTTTTTTAATAAACCGATCCGTAGGATAATATTTTTACATTATGTTATAATATTTTTTAAAAAATATACTATGTTATTTGTATATTTATTATGTCATAATAATAAGTTCTATGCTTATAAATCAATAGATCCTTCCACATTCTTACCATGAAAAGGAAAGAGAAAAATCACATTATTCTCTAAACCATGTAAAAAAATAAAAAAATAAAAACTCCCAATTACTAATAGACTGTCATGAGATAGATATTCCACTGAAATGGTAAACATGTCCTTAAAATAATTGGATTATCATAGATGGCAAGAAACCTCTTTTTTTTTTACTAAATTATTTTATTATTTGAAGAATTTTAGAATAAATGCTCTTTGAATTTTCAATGTAGCGGCACGTAACAAACATACAATCAATGCTTTTCTACTTTGATGATATCTACACTGATTGTTAATGGTGTGAGATCCGAGAGTACATCGGAGAGAGGAGTCATCTTCAACCTTAGTAAAAGCTTTTAATTCTCTGATTCTCCTCCGACTCTGACATGAGACGAAATGATCTCTACCCCTATAGTTTTATTCCTTGGAGATGGACCTCAAAAGACTCACATCAATGAAAGGATTAAATATGATATCATCAATAACATGATTAAGCCTTTTACTCCTACGAAAATAGCCTTTGCTAAACATTCCGATGAGGCTTCATCGTAGCATGCAAAGCCTATAGTGAGGTATTGACATTAGTAAGTTTTATAGTTTAAGGAAAGTGGTGGTCCATTCCAAACCTATTGTTTCACCATTAGGCATACATATAGACGACTTTGTAAAGTGGCCTACCGCCGAAAATTCTCCATCATTCCCATATTCTTCGCTCTATAAACTTTAGAAGCATCTTTGGTTGACTAAATTAATCTTAGTTTAGCAGAAGTTGAGAAAAAGTATAAGCAGAAAGAAAGCGTCTTTTTCTTTTTCTTTTTTCCCTTTCCGATTACGCATTATTTGTTGGGAACTCGATATAAAAAAGAAAAATATCATAATTAAGAACATTTCTTTTTTATTTACATTCATGCACAAATGAATAATGACTAATAAATCACTTTTTAAATCAACTTAAACTTTAAGGCTCATCTCTCTTTTACGCTCTGCCCGATGTTTCTAAATCCACCAAAGAAAATCTATTTTCATCGAAACCTTGAGATCAATAAGATATTTATAGAAACGCAAATTTTAATTTGATGGACCCTATAATCCAAAATATTTAAGCCTAACTTAATAAAATAATAATAATGATAATAATAATAATAATAGGTTTATTTATTCATTCATTCATTCATATAAACCAACTCAAATCTTTACCTTATTCCTTGCAGGATTAAATTGAAATACCATTCTACACAGTGA